AGTGAATAGACACATTTTCATAAAGGTGCATTGTTTGGAAAGGGTGCATGGTTTGGCCTCAACCATTTCGTCCACACCCTTTTATGGTCTATAAATAGGACCCTTTGGGTGTCCTATTCCACACAATTTGATATGCAAAACGTCTCTCATCCTCTCTTCTGTCCAAAATCAAAAATCATTTCATTTATTTTGATTTTCTTTCATTTCATCCTTGGAGTACATAAGCCTAAATTTGGTTCGTTGTACTTGTGTTTTGGAGTGCTACAAACACAAGTGTAGCCGTTGTATCTTGGGAGTCGATTGCCGAAATCCGTAGGCACCGTTGCGGGGCAAATTCGACTTAAGGACAAAGAGTTCAACTCTTGCCTCGACTTTGTCACCATCATTATACTTATTTCGGCGTCACTATTCACAAAAATCATCCAACATAAACTATACTTGGTCCTGTTTTGCTCGTTTGTCTGGTTATACACACAAATATTCCCAAGGAAATTAGAGATGGAACCCCCTAACCTTTCACGTCATATAATTATAAGCGATCAATCTTCAAAAGTGAGGTTATAGATCCTCAACTTATTTAAATGTACAAATCCATGCCCCGTGTGAGCCAATATAAATGTTAAAATTGCAATATCACTTTTAGTCAAATAGCAAAATGTCAAATCACTTAACAATTCTTCTCAATTCAATTGAAAATTGTGTGTTCTTCAATTCAATTGAACACTTTGTGCAATAATTATTGTCAAATTATTCAATCAAGTTGAAGTTTATTTTTATTTATCGATAGTTAGACTATTACGTTATTCAATAAAGTTACAATACATTTTTATTCATTGAACAATGTAGCACTGAGATATGTGAAAGATTGGAGAGTTTAACATTAATTATTTATAATAAAAGTTATTAATAACTTTACCTTACTAGAACCCCATAAGTAGAAGTGTTATTACTAGTATGTTTATTTATAATGCCTAAACTAAGCCTATATATTTATTATTTGTATGTCACTAATTTGTATACCGATGCATGCACCGTAAGCGTAAATCGATAGAAATAATGAATCCTAATGTAAATAGAGTTCAGGTTCGAAGATCACCGTTACTCGCGCATCTTTCCCCCTAGTCATGAGCCTCCTTTGAATTTTTGATTTACTCAATTCTTTTATTTTCGATTCGAAACGAAGAAAAGACAGGAAAAAATAGAAGTTACTAACTTGAAATCCAAGAAAAATAAATGCAATAGCTAGATGATGATGAGCAATATCGATCGGCCACAAACACATCCAATATGAAAATGAAAAAAATTAAAGAGAGAAGACAATGAAAAAAATTAACACACATTTTTATTGAACCAAGTAATAACAGAAGTAAATTATTTTCAACAATGTCATCTGAAATATTTGAAGAAAACTGAAATAGGGTTTGACATGTATGGTCTTGCTCAAAAACACGGGAGGGGATCGAAAGCCAGCAAAGTGTTTACTCGAATGTCATGTTCTCTGCCTCTCGCCTCACGGATTCAAAAAGCACAGAGGAAAGATACCGCTCACCAAAACTTGGGAAAATCACCTGCATTCAAGTTGAAAAATAGTTCAGTCGATGGAATATTTGAATTCACACAAACAATTTGGTATTGGCTATATGCATTCAATTCATTTCTAGATCTCCTAGAAGATCGCAAGCAATTAGATCATTAGCAACCATAACAGCACATCTTAACATCCTAATTTCTGCATATGTCCTTTTGACACTGATGACGACAAAAATGGTAATAACAAGTACCAGCAAGGTCCAGCATCTTTATTTCACTCCAAGAAACATGCATTAATCCTGCAGACATTGGTAAAAATAGGAGGTATTGTGAATTAATTTCCCCAAGCGGCCGTCAAATTCCTTATAATCTACTTTTCTGCGAGTAGTTTAACATCTGATCAAATATAGGTTTTGAGTCTAAGCAGGTAAGTAATCACTGATCAAAGGCTACGGGAGAATTAGACCTTTATCAACCATCAAAACAAATAACAAAAAAATCAAATCCACCACCAACACATGTATCAGTCTCTACACCACCTTCAAACTCCGCTGAAATAAACAAATCCATATATTCTAATTCGTTCACCGAGCGATGCACATGCTTACCAAGATCACCACAGGGTTGTAAGTATTTTATATCACGTAATTCTATGAAATAATTTTTTGTTGGAAAGTACCACAATTGAGCAGCGAATTACCACCTTAAGTGGAACTCATCAAAACAGATTTAAGCATCGGTGCTCTTAATAGTTACCAACATTAATTGTTAAATAACCATGGTATTGTGTGAATCCCCACCACAGGTACCGCCATCACACCCAAGTAAAAATAAATAACCAAGGTAGGTACCATTTTGAGCCCCTTACTCTCTGCGGAAGAAACGCTATGAACATTGTGTGTGTACGTGCGTGAGAGAGATGCATAATTCAAAGCCTAAAATGTGAACTAATCAAAACCAACAGGACAAGACCGAAATGGCTTCTCATATCATCCTTTAATTAAAATTTACAGTGACGAATGCTGGCACACGCCTTACTACCTTAGATTCTAAAAGCGAATCATACTTTGAAAGTATCTGGTTAATGGGCATATTGCACAAAGTTTTAGAGTTTGTGCATCAGAACACGGAGAACTCATATAGCTCCTGTCTCCTTTTTCGAGTGCCTATGTAACGACCTAAGCCTGAGCCCAACTCATTAACTCATACGTATTTGTACACTTAGGTTTCAAGATGCTGCAAATATATTTCACCAACTAGGCCAACTCTCCTCATATTTAGGTAAATAAGAGTTAAAAATAAAAGGAACCAATGTCACTGTATATTTTCTTACATCTAGTGTGGCATTCAGAAAGTAAATCTGGAAAATGTTTTGCGATAATCTGAATAATACCATGCTTATACAGTGAGCAAAAGGGTCTTAAAATCTCGTTACTGCCAGAAAAGCTAATGCCTATCAGCAGATGACAAAATCTATGAAACTCACAACCAACCACTGTTGCCGTTTGAAGATGCTTCCCAACTATAAGATTTTATTAGGTTGGCCTTATCATAGGCAGATAAGGATACTGAAATTGTACAAGGACTTACAACAACGAGTTTTCCAGCATACTCTGGCCGCTTTGCAATCCTAATTGCAGCAGCAGTAGCAGCACCAGATGATATTCCCACCTATCACATTCAATTTAAAAAACTTCTGTTACTGAAAATGTACGAACAACATAATTCAAGAGAGTACAACGTGTCAAAACCATCGTACTCAGACGAAACGATTTACTTACTAGCAACCCTTCTTTCAATGCAAGAAGCTTTGCAGTTTCTATGGCTTCATCACTTGAAATCTAAAAAAATATATAAGACAACCCATAATAATACACGTATTAGTGTAATGATATGGATAAGTATGCTACTCGTCTACTAGAAATCCCCACAATTGCATAAAATGAAAGAACTTGGCACTGTATTCATTGAGATTATTCCATCCAATATAGGATAAGAAAGTGTAGTAGATAGCTCAGAATCTTGTTAAGAAAGTCTAGTAGATAGCTCAGAATCTTACTTGAATTACTTCATCAATAAGATCAACCTCTAAAACACCAGGAATAAAACCAGCACCAATTCCTTGAATCTTATGCGGACCTTAAGCATTACACAGAAATCCTTTGTCAGATCAACCAATTAACGATTTGTCAATAAAGACAGATAACAAAAAAAAAAATTAACTTAAAATTTTGACATAACACTTGGTGATTACATTCATATCATGTCCCTTGTATTAATTTTTCCCTGTTCACAAAAATTGGGTCAAACTTGGTCATAATAAGACACTGAATGAAAACAAAATAAAGGAAATAAACACAAACGTATCCTCATACTCAACTTCTATAGGCTTACCCTACTAGCCGAATGACGTAAAAAATAAAAATCAGGTCAATTTGGCCAAATCTGGGAAACTTCAATAGTTTTAAAATTATGGATAACTCATAAAGTAGATAAAATGTCTGTGAATTCTAAATTGTTTTAAATATTTTCAAGAACGATGGGCTATCAAGTATCAATTAACATATTTTGTTTCATGCAGAATAATTGGGTGCGGCAAGAAGCCAAGACACACTAGTAGAACCAAACAAACCTCCCATTTACTGAACTTTCTATTCAATTCCTAGCGTATCTTGAGAAAGAAGATTTCCACACAAATATATAACGAAATATTTGTAGAACAGTGCTTATCAACCATTCCAAAATCAAGATGAGAATGAAAGATCACAACAATCATCTGAAAAGTGGGCAAGAGGTGGGGTTTGGGTTTAGAATTCTGTTAATCAGAAACCGGGCAATTGTTATAAACAGAGTGTCCATTACCTCCCAAGTTTATCAGAAAAAGCAGACTAAAAGCAGATCAAACTAATTGGACAGGTCAGATTTGATCCATAGCTAAGTTGACATGCAGAATTTTCTTTTGAGTAATTTTCCAACTTAAACAACAAGATGGACCAGAAGTAGCTTCTTGCTATGCTACTCGACTATATAAAACCATTAGAAAACAATAATATAAAACAGAAAGAACAACTTCTTTTGGACGATACAGGATTAAATTTGTCATCACAACAAATTTCTGTCTTTAAGATTCTCACCAAAAAAATTTGCGGCCCTTCAAAAATTAAAAGTGGAAAATAAACTATGGACTTTTAGGTACAAGACCATAGAAAGAACTCACCAGGTTTTCCACCAGAAAGAACAGGACTTTCAACTGGTTCCACACCATACAGCTGAAAAACAAAATGGGAATAGAAGGTAACAAAAATTGCCAAAAAAAAAAAAAAATGTTGAAATAAAAAGATCAGTACTTTGGAATAAAATATTAAACTAGTAAACTACACAAACAACTTTACTATTATTCTAATTCCTAATCAGACAAAGCACCAAAAAGAGCTGTTCAATTTGAAAGATGAAGATAACCTTTATATCAGGGTTCTGCTCTTTAAGAAACTTTCCTGCACCAGTGATTGTGCCTCCAGTACCAATCCCAGAAACAAAAGCATCAATTTTTCCATTCGACCCTTTCCAGATCTCTGGTCCAGTGGTTTCATAATGTATCTACATCCATGCACATTATATTATGCATACTACTTTCCGTCCATAATTAACATCAATCAAAATAACGTAAGTGAAGGTTGAAAACCTTTGGGTTGGCAGGATTTTCAAACTGCTGAAGAATGTAGGAGTTAGGTGTCTTATCTCGTATCTCTTCAGCTTTCTGAACAGCACCTTTCATTCCCTTAGCAGGGTCAGTAAGGACCAATTCAGCACCGAAACCACGAAGAATAATTCTTCTCTCGAGGCTCATAGAAGAAGGCATGGTAATGATAAGCCTGTAACCCTTTGCTGCTGCCATAAAAGCCAAACCTATGCCAGTGTTACCACTTGTAGGTTCAATAAGGACGCTCTACAGCGAGGAAAAACAGACGGTCAGATTCAATTATTAATTCAAACAGACGTGTCATAAACATAATTCTCCATCTTTTTCATCATAAAGGAGAAACTGAAGTTTAAGACAAGTAAAACTAACCTCCCCGGGTTTGATATGGCCTTTTGCCTCAGCATCTGAAATCATGCTGTAACCAATCCTGCAGAATAAATTGTGCATGAGTGAAGTATGTACTATTTTGTGAAAAAGAACAGAACTTTTGAGTCTAATTATCTTGAAGATCAACCACAAAAGTAATGGATATACCTATCCTTAACACTAGAGCATGGCTCCATAGATTCCAGCTTGGCTGCAATTCGCGCGACACAACCATCAACAACATTATTCAAGTACACCAATGGGGTTTTACCAATCAACTGCAGAATAAAAGTCCCAAATTAAAACAAACAATAAAAAATCTGAAGAGAGATTTCTAATTATCGATTAAAACCAGAAAAAATAGACTTATGAAAGACTTACTTCAGTTACATCCTTCGCAATTCCAACATTTTCCTCTGCCATATCTCCAAATCAATTCTGAAAACAGATTCCTGAGAAATTAGGTCGCTTCAGAATCTAACAACTCTTCAACTTATTTGAAATTCTAAATATAACATCATCAATCAAACGTTATAAATCATATACAGGAGAATAAAAACAATAGAAAAGTCAAAATAAATATTTACTAATAAGCCACTCAATTATAGCCCTACATAAAGATGATGAAACTAGTCATCATTGCTTCTTTTCTAGCCTGCCCTGTATCATATAAAAATTCTATCGAAAGTTATAATAATGTGTCACCCAACTTTCAGTCTTTTCACCACAACTAACCATAAAAGAAAACAAATGGAAATGCTTTATGAACACAGTAAACGCAATAATTTGACGCCACCTTACCAAATTCAGATAAACTTATCCGTTCAAATACAAAATAATCAATTTCGTTTTATCATTAAATGGTCAAAAACTTCAGATCTTTCACCTCTTAATGCATCTAACAGTTTGATTCCTGATTTCAATCAGTAATATAGAGAAATTAAATCCTTTTCAAAGAATTAACAGAAGAAAAATCTGATTGATTACCTTTTGTGGGTTCTGCGCTGTGTGCTGTCTGCTGACGATGACAAGAAATGACCTCGTAAGAGTCGATATGTGGGTGAATATAAATTTTACGATGATTAATTATTTACTTAATTATTCTGGTTTTATTAATGAATCACGAATGTTCCCTGAATTGGGCCCGGGAACTGGGCCCGGGAACTGGGCCCAAGTACAGAAAGATATCTGTGATTGGGGGCCTCATACCCGGATATGTCCAATTTAATTCGTGACCTCTGTATTTGTATTTATTTGAAGATAAAATATGTGGAAGGCTACTAATTTTAGTTTGCGGACACAGTTTTCGTCAATTTCTTGTTGGAGTTGAACAAGTAACAGTTGTGCCGGTCAAAAATTCTAGAAGGTGTCTTCGACCAATTTGAAAAGTCACAACAGCCATTCCATCTTATGGATTAACGAACGAGGTTGGCCACGGAACCGGACGTCCAAGAATTACTCAAGAGCCCGGAACTGAAATATGTTTATTTTATTTTAAGAGTCTCCTATCGTCCTGCTCCTGGAGCATTATGAGAGAAGTTAATCACTAAATGTGTCCCAACAGGTCAGGAAATAAGAGCTACATGTACACTGATGCCCACAAAAAGCCCCAATCCATATTTCAGAAATTGAACCCTCACACTGCGACTGTCAGTAGGGCTGAATATACCATATTGTATGTCGCCTCGGTTTAAAGGCAAAATTGCAACAGCGGTCTCAAGACTTTTCATTTTTCACGGATTTTATCTCTTAACCTTCACTTCGTGCCAATCACGGATTCAAACATTTTAAAAAGGCCCTGCTACATGTTACAACTCAGTGTTCAGCCCCCTCACATAGGGGGTAGGGCCCGCGCATTAAATGAGCGTGGCCCCTCCCCTCATGTGAGGGGAGTGTAAGGCTCGATGTACAAGAGGCATTATTCTTTTAAAAAATTCGCAAGATGAAATTGGACCATTAATTGACCAAGAAAAATAAACTTTGACCGATTTTAAAAGGGAATTTTTTTTCACATTAAGAGCCTGTTTAAGCCACATTATAATGAGAATGAGAAATAGAATCGTTATGGATCCCACACCAGAGATAGAAATTCAAAAATGATGGTTTGATGTGATGGATAACGGTCATATTTTTCATTTTAATGAAGTAAAATTATGGCTCAAACAGGGGCAAAATAACTAAAATAATTAAATGAATTTTTTTTAAAATCATCATCTCCCACACTCGCAGTTGCCATCTTCACCCATTCCGTCCAAACCCCACCCCCTACGGCCTACGCAAGACCAATATCACTGTTCTCCCCTGTCGCCCACCACTGTAAACGTCGTTGCCACCACCAAACCCACAGCCGCCTCCACCACAGCTGCCACCATCTTCTCCACTGTCGAATGGAAGAGGTTTGATCTGCAGCAGATTTTCCTTTGCAGAAGAAGGGGATTTTTCAACCAGGCTTAAAGCATAAAAAAGAAAATCTTAGCTTGTATGAATAGGAAATGAAAGAGGTAATAGAATTCAACAAGTCCATAGACTGTAAACTATATCTGAAAAATTCTTCAGTAGTGACTCTATCCCACGTCGTCATGGGGTAGTCTATTACCACCACCAACCTAGCAAAATCCTTGTTAATCAAATCCAACACCCCCAAACCATTTCTGAACCCACTTCAAGGACGTAAATTGAGGTCCTTCCACAGGCTTCAACAAGATTTGGCTCGTAAAATTCGCCTCTTTGAATTTTATTAATATACTTTAAATCTGGATGGGGAGGCCTCATTTAAGCTTCAGCGATTAGATTCACCATCTTGGTTACCCTGAGGACTCATTCGGAAATTTGGAAGATGAACATAGGATTTGAGAGAGATTTGTGTTTGCTGTTTGAGATTTGGATCAACGATGGTGGTGGTTCGCGGTGGCGGCGAGTGGTGATGGAAAGGAACGGAGTTAGCGATGACGAGTGGTGGTGGAAAGGAACGGCGATGGCGACGGATTGATTTTGGTTCAGTTTAAGGGCGTGGGGTGGACTGGAAAGGGGGATATAGGCCTCGTTTGGTAGGGATTTTTTGTCCAAAAAAATTGATTTTTTGACCGTTATTTTACTATTCAAGTCGTAATTTTTGACTTCTTCTTTCACATGTGAACCCCACTTTTCTTCTAACGATCAAAAAATCAATTCTCAAAATCCCTACCAAACAGACTCATAATGAAGAGCCCTTCTTTATTTCCTTCTTTTATAATTTATAATTATTTTTTATTAAAATTGTAGAGTCCCATATTTGGTCAAAATACATTTTTGATTGACTAACGATCAATTCCTTCCCATTCATTTGGATCTAAGTACAAATTTTAAAAAAGTTCAGAGCTGTAAGTAGTATAAAGTGAAGGTTAAAAGTAAAATATACTAAAAATGAAAAGGTATGGAACTGCTCCAATTATTCTTAATTTGAAATTTCAAATCATGAGCTAACATAATATCGAATAAACAAGTAAATAGAGGAGTTCTAAAAGAATATGATTGGTGAAATTCAATATATTTGAATACCAAAATTCGATTCTAAATTTTTAAAATATTCAAAATTATTTATCGTACATTTTCAGTTTAAGCAACTTTACTCGAATGCAAGAATTTATAATTAGGTTTGCGGTCAAAATACTCTTTTCTATTTTCCCATTTCAAGTGAAATTAGACTCAACTTAAAAATAAGTCAATTTACTTTAAAAAAGTGAAAGTTACTTTGATAACCATCCACATCCATCAGAGCCATGTCCTCTCACACACCATACATCATCTCTACACTCCAAAAAGCTTGCCCATTTCTACACCTATCCAAAAGACAAGGCAACATTCCCTTCAGCCCAACAATCAAATTCCTGGTTAAGAACTTCTAGCAGATTATCCAGCAGTGTCCATTGTGAACAAGATGAGAGAGATTTAATTCTTTTTTTCTCAATATATTTTCAATACAACCAGCCTAAATATATACACAATACTTGGCAGTAAAAAAAAAAAAGAAATAATATTCTAAAGAAGAAAGATCTTTCGTAACTTACAAGTATACCAAAAATATAAGATACAATAAATCCCATAATTGATCCGGGATTCCTACATCCATGCTTACAAGGTACTAATTGAATATGAAGGTAAAACAACTGAACTAGAGGTTGAGCCAGACGAGACAATTCTGTCGAAGACACTGGAAAGTGATTTGCCAGTGCCATATGACTGTAATGCATGACATGCCCGGCTCAAGAATGGACGACCAAAGTGATGGGATGCTTAGTGAGGATGTTGAGGAGAGAGGTTATGCTTTATTGTGTATTGTCACATTAGAATCATACCCGAGGAAGAATTGCTCTCTCTGCAGCTAGTTACTTCCAATGACTAATAAATCTGTTGGTTGTTAAAATTTTCAGTTTTGAGGCACTGCTAATTGTTACTGTTTTTCTGCATTAAATCTATAAGAGGAATGTGCAAAGTGAGATTCTGAAGGCAAAGGTTAACGATACCTTGTATTTACTTGCTGGAATTTCTATTGTTTGAAGAATATTTAGGCTTCCACGTTTAGATTTCTCTAAAAGCGTTCTCTCTGACAACCAAGAATGATAAAATCATTCGCATTCAGTCTAAAATTTAAGCACAAGAAGATTTAGTTGGAAACACCTGCTACCATTAAACAAAGTTCTTCATAGATAAAAGTAGCAAAATAGGACATGTATTGAATAAATGCATTGTGCGTGGCTGGTATCTATCTATTATTACGGGTTCAATACTACTTCTCAGAGTTGAATGTAGACATATAAGGTCATATAACAAATTTTGGAAGTATGGTCAAATGTTAATGAACAGTAATTCATCCATGCGTGTATAACAGTAATTGGACACAATGTGAGTTCAGAGGTGACTAACAATTAAAAAGTAGACACTTCTCCATATCCATGTGGAAGTATGCTAACAAAGCATTCAACACTTATGTTCAGTGAATAAATATGATCGTATCAAAAATGTACTCACTGACTCCATTTGATGTTGATGCAGACAGCAAGCACTTCAGAGTAGCTCCCGCAAGTGATAAATAAACTCGGTCTTCTTCAAAATTTAGATCCTAGGACATTATCAGAGCCCATAAATCCAGTATAGCATATGGCTAACCACATTTTGTATCTCAATGAAGGCCATAACACGCAGTATTACTGCTGAGTTCTCAGGGCAAGGCTCTGGATTTTCTCTGCTCAAGTTTCAACTTCACATCAATTCCATTTATCAATTATGGACTTGAGTACAATCTGAAGCTTCCCTTCCAATTTCTCCCCTTTCCTTGGAGTATAAACCACATTATGGATATCATCAGCCAAGGCCCTCTGAGCCAACAATTCCCCAACCGCAGCACAAGCATTTCTATTCTTAGTCGAACCCATGGCCTTGGAAATAGAATGCACCACAACCAGAGGTTTGCTAGAATTTCAGATCAAAAGAATGCTCTTTCATTCAATATTCATTGAGACTCGTTTGTTGACAGCCTATTGCACAGCATTGTGTTTGAACCTTGTGAAAAGCGAGGAAACTCATCTAATCCTTACTTCCCCATCTGTTTCTCTGGATCTTGAACAGGTTTCCTAGGTAATCCCCAGCTCCGTAGATTGTTCTTTTGCACAGGGCCAATTCTTGGTATTCCTTCACTTTCCCCTTCATATAAAAAATTACAGTATCCGAAACCAAAAGTTCATGATGCATATTTCTCTTAACTGGTGGTTTTCTGGTCACGACGGTTACAGTTAAAGTTCCATTAAAGAGCATTTCCACATGGTAGAACCTTCTCAAGGAATATAAGGTTTTCAATAGGCTGATCTTGAAGCTGCCCAGTCAACACAATTAAAAGCAGAGTACACAGCACGTGCAACAAACCCAGCCGTTCTTTGCTTACAATGGTAAGTACCTCATTATAGATTCTTTGGTCGACTATAAATGCTTCACAGCCTTGTTAAATATTTGGATTTTTATACTTGGTTCTAGCTACCAGAAAAAGGACTTCGAAACGAAGACTTTAATATTATTGGTCGCATCATAATACGCATAATATGAGTTTACAATCTCCACCTGAATGTAAATGATTGAAAGGAGAATGCTACCAATCAGGACAAATTTGACCTTAAAGAGGATAAACAAAACTTCTACTTCAGATTCTTTCATATAACGA